GAGAGAGAGAGAGAGAGAGAGAGAGAGAGAGAGAGAGAGAGAGAGAGAGAGAGGGGCTAGGATATTGCTGGAATGTATCTGGACGAATAAGCGGTCCAGATAAATTATGTTGCCCATGTTTCCGGGGTCCAAAAGACATTGTTGCACCACGTTCGCCTGGCTGCGGCCGCGCGTTCGCAGCTCTCGTGAATGCGTGACAGGGCCCTAGTCACGAGACCCCGGGTTCATCAACGAGGGGTAGGCACTCCATTAGTGTAATGCCTGATTCAATTATTTAAGAAGGGTATGTCTCTCTTCCCACAAGCGCAGCTAAGCCCCTTGCTGGCGGCCACTTAACTGAAATGGGCGAAATGTGGCGTAGGGATGTCAGCAACGGGAACTGGTTTATAGCTAGGCTTTTGAAAAAGTTTCAGGTTCATTTTGCACTACTGATCTTCTCTATTCCTGGCTGCTGCTCATGTTTCACTTGTTCTTCTTCTTCTTTTTCTTTTTCTGTTTTTGGGAACAAAGCTCCAATGTACTCCTGGAAAGCAGCACGTACGGCCTGGTACGGGGACTCGGGCTCAGCGTAGGCTGTTTGGAGTCTCGGGAAAAAGAGGCTCGAAAGTCCTGGTGGTTTCAAGTCTTTTGTTTCGTGGTATCGATCTAGTTTGGTTTTCACTTCTTTCACATCTGGCCATTAATTATGTTTGAACTTCCATGAGCTCTTCCCCATCCACTTGAACCGCCTTTGTTTTGTGTGTGCACCTTTTCATCCATAATGCCCAAAGTACAACCTTTCAGCCCAGACTAAACTTGTTGTTGGTAAAGTTGCTTTCGGGTTGTGGCTGCAACGCCCCTCTCAGAGTAACCCTCAAGTCCCACAGCCAGTCTGTACTAGTCCCAAGCTAGCGCCACATTCTTTCCCACCTCGCCAAACCCTCGTAAAGGATCCCAGCTTGGCAAAACCCCCGGAACCCAGTAATGGGGTTTAGGGACATCAAACCCCTTGTAGAAGGTCAAGCGTTCTCAGAACGCTGCACCCCTTAAAATGGCATCATACATTCTCAAAACGCCGGGCCCTGTTAAGGCGCAAGTGATCAACGACTTGCTGTATCTTCGCTGAAAATAATTTCGAAGTGGAAAAGAGTCAACGATTTTAAAGTTTTATGAAGCCAGGTTTCAATGATCTCAAAGGTGCCGAGAACGTTGAAATCCCCCTTTTGGATAAAAATCAAGCATTCTGAAATGTTTGAAGTGATGAAGATGCCGAATATTTTAGATACCCTCTTGTGTCTGAATCCATATTAGAGATTCATAAACCGCTGAAGTAATGAATATGCTGAAAATTCTTAACACCCCCCCTTGGGTGTCCAAATCCATATGGATGCTAAAGATTATGGAATTTTTGAAGCGGTGTAGATGTTGAAATTTCCGAACCCCTGCCCTCTCCCTCTTTGTTTCTTTAAAGGGGGAATGCTCATAATTTTCAGCACTGTGACGGTGACCTTCACTACTTCTGCATTTTCAGAACTTTATAGTCTAGATACCTGTGTCACGCGGCGTATACATGCGCAGCCCCCGCTTACACGCACACACGTATTCAGTAGCGCGCGTACGTACCACGTACGTGCGCGCGCGTACGTCAAAAAGGGTCCCGCGTACGTGGTCGCAGGGGGGCTTTTCTGGGCCGTTTTGTGGCCCAATCTGGTTGGGGGGTTACAGTGGGGAGTGGCTGGGTGGTCGGACTGCCAAGCAGAGCGGGCCGAAGACGGTCCCGACGCGAATTTTAAATTCGTTGCGGGATAGTCTACCCCCCGCCCTGCCTTGCAAACTGACCCTGCTGCACCCCGCCGCCACGCACCTTCTCGTTGCCAAACCCGTTACTGATGTCATTGTCGCCATGGAGGTTGCCATCATTGTTGGCGTGACAGGGGTCGCCATCATCGTTCCCGTCGATGTGGTCATCGTTGCCACTGTCGCCGAGGTCGCCGTCGCCGCCTTCATTACCTCGGAGCGGAGAAGGTAAGTGTGTGTGTGTGTGTGTGTGTGTGTGTGTGTGTGTGTGTGTGTGTGTGTGTGTGTGTGTGTGTGTATGAGAGAGAGAGAAGCACCATCGACGACGGCATCGTCGTCTTCCTCCTCCTCTGCGCTGCCTCCCTCCTCCCCATCACCATTGCTCGTCACCATTGCCCGTTGCCATCGCCTATTGCCATCGTCCATCGACATCACCCGTCGTCATCACTCGTCAACTATGGGAGGAGGAGGAGGAGGAGGAGAAATATATTTGTTTACCTCCTCCTCCTGTGGATTTAAATACAATAAATTATATATATTATATATTATATATTATATTTTATATAATAAATAGTATACAATCTATACGTATATATTTAAAAAAATACAATAAAATAAAACACTTACGCATATAAGGGTTTTTTGGTATGTACGCGTACCCGCGCATACGTACTCATACGCACCGCATACACTGGGCGAACACATAAGTTGGGGGTTGTTCGGTCATTTGCGCATGTAGTTTTGTTTAGGCTGGGTTAGACTACTCATAAGTTGGGTAGCGTGGTTCTACGCTATGTGTCACCGTTTGGGATAGCTAGGCACATCATAAGTTGTTGTGTTCTAGTCATATGCCTTTTGTCGGTGTTAAGGCGAAGGCTGACCCCTCTCATAAGTTGAGGAGGTCCAACGCTTCATGTATGTCGAACGTTCAGGCTGACCAACCTCACTAGAAGTTGGTGTGACCCAGTTATACGCCTTATGTTTATCGTCTAAGCAGGAACTGGTCACACCATACGTTGGTGTAGCTTAGTCCCATGCCTTACGTTTACTTGTTCTTTTAGGCTAGGGCATCATAAGTTGGTGTGGCCTAGTCATATAATTGGCGAGTCATTCACATCCATAAGCTGGGTTATCTGATCCTATGCCTTATTTAAGGAAGGGTAAAAACGGGTAATAACGAGGGACTTGAACAAACTATGTGATCTGAAAAAGAACCCAAGGGTTGACGAGGGATGTTATTATACTCACTTGTATATGCTTTTGGGGTTGGTCTTTGGGATGTCTTTCGATGGTTTAGTTGTTTTAGATGCTCACCATGTGCTGGAGCTGTAGGAGTTCATGCAATTCCTGTATTTTCAAGGTTAAATTTATTTAACTTAGTTAAATTTTAACTTTTGCTGGGATAAGTTTATTTTTTATGTTTGGTTTTGTGTAAATTTTGGGAAGATATTTTTCCTACGGGAAGCGCTGCCAAAATTTCTGCAAATCGAGGGAGTTAGTTAAATTTTGTCTTTTACAAATTCGACTTTTTATCTGAATCTGCCAAAATTTCTGCAAATCGAGGGAGTTAGTTAAATTTCGTCTTTTACAAATTCGACTTTTTATCTGAATTCATATATGTCCTAGTATAAGAGTGAAAAGTCTACCTCTCTAAAGAAGATGATGCCCAAATTTTTACTAAGAGTCAAGGTTAATTTTTATCTTATAGTTAGCTTTGTATAAATTCTGCGAAGACACTTTCCTTGTAGGAAGCGCTTCTGGAATTTTTTAAAATCTAGAGGAGTTAAAATAGTTCAAGAACCTTGAGAGTTTGACAGTTTACCCTCACGTAGAGGAGATACTGTCAAAATTTCCTTACAGCTTCAGATAAGTATCAGAGGTGATATAGGAAGGAAGTATTATTTCATAATTGCTCAAGCATGACTTGGACACTGGTCTGTGCTGTGTTGCAGGTCACTTTTATTCAGATTGATTCAAGGCTTGACTAGCTTCAAGTTCAAGCTGATCCTACGAGGATCATCGTCTGTTATCCTTTGATAACAAGTCTGTTTCTGGCTCAACGCTAATTCATTTTCGTTACTCAACCTAAAGGCCTTAGCCCATGTGGATTGAAATGTTTC